TATATTAGTTACACAGTATAAAAATGATCGTCACTTTATATCACGTTTAGTGATAGTATCGAAAGTCCACTATGCTACATGGATCATCATAACGAATAAACTAATGGAATTAATTACTACACCATTCACATATTTTAGTGGCTATATTATAATTTTTAACCTTTTTGTATTCTTCTATATAAACAAGTTCGTTAGTTCTGTATTCCTCTCATTTTTCAAATCTCTCTGGAACTGGGTTCATTGGAGATTATACTATTTTTCATTAAGCATTCTTTAATAGAGTTCTCGAAATATTTGACTAAATCTTCTCCTTTAAAAAAGTCTATTTTTCTTTCAATCACCAACTCCAATTCATCTTTTTTTCTTGGCTGTTGACTTTTGACATGCTGCCGAGTAATATTAAACATTTTCTTGACAGGATTTAACTCAGGAGTATATGAGGGTAAATAAATAGGTTTGATATTTTTACTGATTAATAATTCTTCAATGGTTGGCAATCCTAACTTTATACATGATTTAGTGGCTTTATGAACTGAGAGGTTATTCATTATCAAATAATTTTTTTTACCATTGCTAGGAGGATTAAAATCAGTTAAGAAGTCATGAAATGCTTGGGTTTTCATACCTCCCTCTATTAATCTTTTATGAATTATTTTCTCTCCTTTGGTAATTTGAGTGAGTAAGATTAGAGATTGATTTTTACCTTTATCACCTGGTCTTTGACTAACCAGCTAAGAAGTTTTTCAATAATAACCTCTTCTTGGAGCAGAGTTGAGATGGAAACTACACTCATCCAAAAAGAAAAGGTTAGATTGAGGTAAAGTTGGAATTATCTCACTAATGAAGAAATTTATTTTCTCTTTGTTCTTTTTTCATAATTGCTCCGAGGACTGATAAGAAATTTTTTTATAAGCAATTTCAACCTTTTGTAGAACTTGGTAGATAGTAGGCTGAGAACAAGAAAATTTCTGAGCCAAAGACTTCTGAGTAATGATTTTAACAGTGATAGTGTAAGAGCATAAAATGTCTAACTTTCCTTGGTTGAAAATTTCCTTTCTGCCTCTTTTTTGTTTAGGTAGATTAGAGGGATATTTTCATCTTTGGATAGTTTTTACATTAACTCCAAAGATATCAGCTATTTCTTGTTGGGTAAATCTTTCTTCGAGTTTAGTAATGTGGTGGGTTGGAGAACTATCTTACTTGTCATGATTATTATTTCAAAGTAAGAAATAAGCAACTACTCCAATAATCGTTGCTACTATTATACTACCACCAATAATTCAAGGAGTTCAGTTGATTTTGCTCTCTCTCTCTCTCTGCCTAATGTCTCTAATGCTGTTAAAGCTTCTTTTTTATCTCCAAAGAAACCACTTTCCTTTGCTAAGTCTTTAAGTCATTTTTCTTGACAATTAGGACAATCATTAAAGAACTTTCCATCACGATATTTGAGAAGAAAATCAATATAGGCTTGGGTTAGTTGAAAATCCTTATCACAGCCAATGAGTTTGGTTCCACCTATTTCAAGCCCACATTTCATTTGATAATCATCTTTAATAGTTAATTTACCATTTTCTTTTTTTGTTCCAGGGATTATGAATACCCCTCCTTCCATTCCCGGGTCAGACATGGTCATGTCTTTCATGAAAGGATTGATATTAGAGTGCCGTAATTGGTTTCAACCATATTCTCTTTGAATTCTTTCACCTACTTCTTTCTCTGCAACACCAGGACTAAGACCACCAACTATTTCATGTCAATCGTTTCTATAATTCTTTCCTATTTCTATAAACAATTCTCTAAGTTCTCGGAGTTGTTGTAAGTTCAATGGAGAAGATTGGATAGCCTTAGCAACTATTCCACAACCTAAGTTTAGGGGTCTGCCATTTGGTCAAATGTATTGGTCTAATTTTTGTTTAAATTCTTCTTTTGTTTTATTTGCCATGTTTTTTTGTTTTGAGATTTTTTATATTCTTGTTTCTCCTCAACAATAAGGTCTAGTAGGTTTTTCATGAGGAATTAACAATCATACATCTTTTGTTTCTCTGTTGTTTTCATAGTAATTAAACATCAATCTTTTTCCCTCCTCCATAAAAATTGTTTTTGAACTGCCTATTTCATCTAATAAAGGATAGGTAATACCATCAACTTCATATTCATCTTTACTAAGTTTTCTAATATTAGAAGAAATCTTTTGGATTATATAATCTGACATGTTTATTATAATTTTATTTACTAACATTTACTAATGCTATAAAAGGAAGTTAAATTTCACCCCTTGCTAAATAAACTCTGAACAAAGACTTTCTTTTGGAGTTCTGAACAGCTTTCCAATAGGTTTCTTTATCATAAAAAATCTGACGGAGGCATTTTCCACACCATTCTTGATTTTTGTATTCCTCTTTCTCAGTTCACAAATTTAACAAGGAATTCTTTCTCACATTTAAAACATTTAACTTTCTTGGGTTTTGGAAAACCATTTTCAGCAAGTTTAATTTCTATTTTTTTCTTCATAATTTTTTAAAAAGACATTTATTTTGAATAGTGTAGTAATTATAAAATACAATAAAATAATGAAATCAAAATAAATATATTAACAATTGAATGTGATGAACCACATTCTACGATTCCGGTAACACTTATCAAGGGAATATTAACATGATTTAACATTTGTTGTCACATTTCTAAGTTGAATAGGGTAAGTGCACAAGAAAGGTTTTATTTCATTTTTTTTCCAAATCACTAATATATTGAACTTATAAGTATATATTCTGAATATGAATCTAACCAATTTTCATTATGTTCAGAGAAAGATAAAAGATCATTCATGGAGAAGCCAATTCCTTTAGATCTATGTGTTGAGCATCTTCTTGAAAATTAATAGTAACATACCTATTATTAAAATCTGTTATATCTTCGGAGAAAGAAAAGGCATCACCAAAACATATTTCCGCAATGGTTTGATTCACTTTACGAATATTTTCTGATGTCTCTTCTAACCCAAGCTATATATATAAAAATACTTTCATCAATACAAGTCAATCATTTATAAATTTGGTCAATTGTACTTACTGCTAAGGTAAAAACAGTTTCCAAAAGCGGTGTAAATGTTAGAAAACTCTTTTTAGAATTTCGTGATGGTAATGGCATATTCAAAACTTGAGTCCAATAAAAAGCTCTGGGGTGTGGCTGTCGCATAGTAAAAAGCTCCCAGTGCAGTCCTTTACGTCCTTCATTATCACCCAAGATACAAGACCCCAACTCCAAACCTTTGAGAGACAATTAGTGAGCTTTTCAAACTGAAATGGGATTTGCTGGTGTGCATGTTTCCAGTAAACAAATAATTCATCATGATTATAGATCGCAGTTTTATGTCTGTCTTTATACACTTTCTTACTTGTTGATGGCTGAACAAAACAGTTTTCATGAGCAAAGATTTCCCACCCATCTATTGTTGCGCCAACATCCATCATCATTCTTGATTCATCTTCATTTGAACAAATTTCCCTGTGGTGTTGAACAGCCCTTGAATTCCTTTCACCCCTTATTATTACAAAAAAAAAATGTGAAATTTAAAAAACAAAGCAAAAAAAAAATCCTACTACATACATATTCACATCTGCCCAATTTCTTATTATGTCTAATGGTTTGTAAATGTAAGTAACACCGACATCCAGCTCAGTGTCCAATATTAATGCATTTTTTGAAAATAACTATGCACTGTTAAAAATATTGAATATTGTGGTTATTGTTCACAGATACACTACCTGGACAAAAGTATGTGAACGATGTTTTTTGTTAATTACGCAAAATACTACATAATAACAACACATAA